TTTTTCGCTAAGGAAAATATTTGTGGATAAAAATTATGAGGAATTTCACTATAAAAATTTGATTGTTTAAGACTTCCATTTTCTTAATATTGAATTAATTTTGTTTATTAGAGAGTCTGTGGACGGACGCGAACTCCGAGCTGTGCCAAATGGCGAATTCAAGTAAGCAGTCCGTTTCGTTGAACGTCGCCGGTACCAACGAGACCCTTGGCGCCGATCACGAGTACCACGAGATCAGCGACGAGGAGAATCAAGACAGCCCTTTGAGATTCGATAAATCGTCATTGAACTTCGACTTCGGCCCGAGCCTCTTAGCCGAGATGGATCAAATGTTCAGATCGCTAGGTACGTCGTTATCAAAGAATTTACCGACCAATCGATTCCTTAATTTCCTGCTTTGTACTCAGGATCGTCCCCGCCGCCACCGCTACCGGTTCATCCCCTGTCGACCGAGCACGAGTCGAGCAACGTTCGAAACGAGCTGAGGGAGATACAAGCGAAACAGAGCAATAAAAAGAAACAAGCCACCGTGAGTCCAATAAATGTACAGTAACGTTTCTTATTTATTTATTTATTTATTTATATTCTATTGTCTGATTTATACCGTTACGCTTTGATTTGTATGATCATTTCGTTGTTCAGTTGATTCGATCCATTATCATTTGCCGCTGTTACGTTTCACGTGTTATTCGTATCGTTTGCATGCCGGCGAAACCCGAACGGAATTATCTTACGAAAAAATGAGATTCGAGAACGGGAGATCGTGCAATAGGACTAATGCATATTTCACCATAGACATGGTCAATGTTTGATTGTTATACTATTATTTAGGTGAAGCCTATATCAGCAGCCGATCAGAAAACTCTCTACTCAGCCATTGCTATGGCACAGGAATTGACAGCACGTTCCATGACAGACCTTGAACATCCACCGGAGTCTCCCCGAACACCTGCCAGTCCTTCGAGGCGCAGAAAGTTCTCTTTTAAGTTGCCACATCAACACAGTCCCAAACCAGACAGACGACACTTTTCAGAGGAAGCCGCCAGTATACCTGACATACAGGTACAATCAACATACCAACAATTCACGACGGGAACGTTCCACGTTTCATTGTTATCGATCATCGCTTGGGGATTTGTAATTTTCTTGAGGAAGAGAAGCGTGGAATGTTCGCGTTGCGAGAACACGAACGACAATAACACGAAGCCTAATCTTGCACCGCGGGAGGTATACTAATTCTTACTAAAACTAACAATGCCACCACGAACATGAATGAAACATTTTTCATTTGAACTGTTATGGAACAGAGTTAATTCCTGATGCCACACGAGAAAGAGTAGGTATAACCGGTGGACCGTTCTTACCTCCGTTGTTCCCCCCTGCGTTACGTTGGTTCTTAACCCTTTCAACCTACGATTTACGTTTCAACAGCCTGGGCCCAAGCCTGTCGTACTATGGGCCAGGCCCGTGATAATCAGTTTTGGCCCAAATACAAGACCACGTGTCTCACACGTAGTTGTAGGTAAAAGGGTTAAGTTTGATGTAAGACGGTTTTCAATTGAAACGAAGTATGACTAATCTCGACCTCCCTCTGACCCTCTCTCCCGTCTGTTTTTATTTTTTCGTTCGTTCTTCAAATTTTTCATTACCTCGTCGCCGTTTCGTTAACCCGTGTTCATCGTCTCGCTTTCATTTCGAGCAACCTCTCGCACGATTCGCTTATTATTATTATTATTATTTCCCCGAATCGCATGGTTTGCCTCTGCGTGTCAAAGTGGTTGTGTTCGAGTTTGCAATCGCTGTCGTCCACCGTGTCTAGCATTGAGTCCCTCGGTGCGCCATCAACTTTAAAATTACCGTTGTGGGACAAAGCGTCCGCGGAATTCTGTTTCGCCAAGTCCCGGGAACTTTTGACCAAACCCACCGCGTGGACGTCTTACATGGACATCGAGTTCGACGCTCATATTTTAGACAACGCGGCGACGAAGCAGAATCTAGTGAAGTCGACGGAGTTCCTGGAGAATGGGAATAAGAAAGGTTTCAGCTGCGAGAGGATAACTGAATTAAGTGGGAAACTGAACGCGCTTCAGCAAAACGGGAAAGTACCGCCGCTGCCAATCGAGAATTCAAACTTCGACTTTTCTAGGGAGCAGAAAAGAGTCTCGACGAGCTACGTCGACCGGTACTTCGAGCAGCCGAAGTATTTCGAAGACGACACATCGTTGACCTGCCCCACCGAGAAGGTGTCGTACTTCGGCGACGAGGCGTTAGACAAATACGATAAGATAAATAATCTGGAGCAGCCGAGTAAATCTGTCGGCTATTCTAACATCCAAGAACAGAGTTCGATGGCCGCGAACAAACAGCAGTTGCCGAAGTTCGGTAACTGCGACCCGTTGAAGGACAACGTGTCGAACTTTGAAGCGCAGTGCGAAGAGAATTCAAGTTTCGATTTGGTCAAAGAGAAACCAACGAATTTTGCAGATTTCGCACGTGGCAAACCGATGAAGTTCGACTCTCCTAGAGAGAAGATGGCAGATTTAGGTACGAGACCGAAGATCTCCAGTTCATTCAGCGATTCCGCGAAGATGAACATCCCCGAGTTCCCTAAGAAGCTCGAAATACCGAAAGCTAGGGGCGGTGGGAAAGTGCCGCTGATAACAAGGAACCCGAGTCAAGAGGGGAAAAGCATTATCTACGGTTCGACGGACAGCATCAAGACTAATCTGAAACCAGGCGGAGGCTCGGACAGTCCTAGAGGAAACATGGAAGCCGTTAGGATCAACATTCAGAGTTTCCGTAAAATAGAACAGAACCAGAACGGCCATGACGGTTTTCCTTTCGTCATATCGAATAATCCGCTGTTCATTGCAGAATCCGAGAAAAAGGAGTCGCCTGTTTACAGCAGTTCGGAAAGCCTGCGTGTGAATTTTCAGCGCCTCAGAAGAAAATCCGACGCGGAGGCGAACAATCAAGTCGAATTGAGTAGCAAATTGCTAGCAGAGAAATACCAGAGGGAGGTGTCAGGGTTGGAGAGCGTGAAGAATTATCTGGATTCAAAAAAGGGACAAGGATTAAATTTGGGTTTCGGTAAATTGACACAAAACATGATTCAGCTAGGCAAGAATATCGCACAGAATTCTAGAAACATGGAAAACGCACCGCCGAAATCTCTGGTTGCCAATATAAGGAACATGGACATATCCGGACAGTCTCAAACGTCCCTGCGAACTCTGAACATTCCAATGCAAAAACCGAAGCACCTGGATTTAAACATTCCACTTAAAACGCAGTTGAACATGAAATTAAATCTAAGTGGACAGAAGCCAAACCCCCCGAGTCCTAGTATACATCAACACATCTTGGAGCCACCGAAGTTGTATCAGAACGACAATACGAAGAAAGAAACTGGGAAGACTGAGTCGCTTTTGGAGAAGATGACTACGGCTACGAGCATCTACCGGCATAGAACGTCTTCCCTGTCGGAGAACAGGAAACCGCCGATCAAAAACATAAGAAGGTCCTTCCATCCTGCGAACGATTCCAGCGAGGACTCTGATTCGATTTCTCATTCAGAGACAGATATAAGGAGCCGGTTTCGTTATAAACGGCGCCACAAGAAACTGCCGCATAATCTGCGACTGAATTTCAAAAACAAGAGCCACTTTTTACACCCAGAATCGGCCAGAGGCTTCTCGGCGATTGAACTCTGTGGGAAATCACCGCCTCCGTCTACGAGTTTCCTGAACTCCCTGTCGCCGCCATTTTCTTCTAGGAACAATCTCCTCTCGTGGCCGGAAAGCGCGCCCAGTTCTAGCCTGACGTTCACTAGCAATTCAGATCTCGACTCGGACACTAGTTCGGAGTACCCGGAGTTCACGAATGACATACTGACGTTCCCGCCGTCTCCCGCCCCGTAAATGTTCGAGATCCTGATCCTACGCTTTCGAGTCGAACCATCAGATGCATGTCGGACGCACGGAACGAAACCAGAGTTGGGCGAATTCCTCGTTTCTTTCTAATGAGTTCAGTCGAATTAATCAACGGACTGAAGTAGTTTGTTAAAGGAATTGTTTTGGAGATGACAAGGTAGATGGAGGGTAGTTTAATTAGAACCAATGGAAGGACGATTGCTCAACAATGGAGAAAGCGACGAATGAAGTCAGGATCTCGGAGATCGCACGTACGACACCCAACTCTGGACAATACACAGTGTACTTAAAGAAACGAGTGGCTGCCCTAAGAGGCTGCCCGTGTCACATACGCTTAGCATGCTTGCATGTTACATACTAATTAACTGAATAATAACGTCTAGTCGATAATACGTTTGGATGCATTTACACGTTTATAATATTTGTACGAAGGAGACTTGGAAATGGGAGTACGTTAATCACAGAATCGAAGCGTCGAGACCGAATCGTACCGGATTTCGTTTAGAATCTCAGCATCACTAGTCGGCCTACGTCGAACGCCCCGATCCCTCGCCGGGTTCCCACGTCGCCCGAGACACGCTTGCAGTTATACCTTAGCAGCTAGAGAGTAGCCAGAATTCGTGTTACACGCTCTACGAGGACGTTTTTCTCTTTCCTTTTATTTGTCGTTTTCGTTCTTTAATTTCTGTTCTCTTCTTTCCCGAATCTATCCCCTCCCACGGCTTGTTTAGGCTACGTTGTCGGACGAAGCGAAGGAGGTGTACAACAGCCTCGTGGAGACGCCGACCATAGAGACAGCACCGGAGACCAACCCGTTGCGCATGCTTCGTTCCGGGGTGCCGATCGTCAGGCCCAGGATCCGTGGGAACAAGCACGCCACCCTGGGACACCCGGTGTCCCACCAGGAAGACTTAGCGGCCGACCATTTTCACTTCGACGCGTACCATAGCGGTTCCAGGACGCTGCCGAAGAGCAAGGCGCCACCTCCACCCCACGCGCCGCCGCCATTGCCGCAGATGAGACAGCTGGAGAGGCACCACTCGGCTCAAGAAATCGAGAACAATCAGAATCAGAACAACGTGGACGAGAATCCTATTCCTTTGCCACCTAGGGACAGGTCTAAGACGCTGCAACCGAAATCCAGCCTTCCTAGGCATCAGAGGAAACACCCGCTCATCATTCCTGGTGGTGGAGTGACTAGGACTCTGGCTAAGATGGCAGTTACCACGCCGCCGATCGAGGACCAAGTGGACGGTAGTTTGCAGAGCACGAGCTCCTCGGTTGTCAGCAGCTCGTTACAGGAGGGATACTCCTCGGAGACTTCAGCTAATAGGTTCGGTTCTTCTTTAGTTGCAAAATGTTGGCAAGCTTGTATTAGACGCAGAATTGCAGAATTTGTTTGCATATAAGTGCATTAAGGACTGCAATTATTTTCGCATTGAGCCTGAATTATTTTTCGTTTTCAGTCCTGAGGAATTCGAGCAACGGATCGACTCCGAGTTGGCCGCCCTCGATTCCCTGCCGGTGGACGAGAACAGGCTGCACCGATTCAGCGTCATCTCGGAAGATCTTCTCGAGTTCTCCGACAATCTGATCGACTGTGATGCTATAGAGTATCGTCCGAGCCTGCAGGAGAGCAGCGACGTGCAGTCTACGAGTTCCTCCACAGAGAAACTTCAGAGGAAGATCAGCGTCGAGTCGAAGACCTCCCTAAGCAGCGCCAAGTGCATCCAACAAAACGAGACGAGCGAAATCAGTCGAAATTCTACTCCCACAGGTTCGAGCAAGTCCGAGGACTCCGCGAAGGACCCGCCGTCGAAGCCGAAGAGGACCACGTTGGTCCAGAGGCCCGCGAACTATATTATGCAGTTCGACTATGGCGAATACTCGGAGAACAGCTCGCAGTCCCGGTGCAACCCTAAACAACAACAGCAGCAGCCGGAGATATCGAAAGAATGTTCCACCACTGACTCGAACGATAGTTTTCACTCTGCAGGTCTCACCGGGGCGTACAACAGGCTGTCTAGCGAGAAGCTGCCAGGTCAGAGCGACCTGTCGCGGCAGTCGGACCACGTCTCTTGCGAAGATCTGCTGGAGTTCGCCTGCGACGGGCCGAACGCGAGGAGGACTCGTGGCCCGCGGAACGGGGAACAGTCCGACGAAGTTCGGATCATGATGAAGGTGTTGCACGAACAGTCCACCCCCGAATCGTGCATAGCTGCGCTGAACGTCACCGATTGGGACGTTCTGGCTGCAATCAAGCTCGAACGGTTACAGGGGTTGTTGAAGAAGGAGAACAATTTTGTTGGGCTGGAGGATTGCAAGCTCATGCTGAACCAGTGCGGCGGTGACGTAGTGAAAGCCGCCGCGCTGCTAAGGAGCACCGACGACACTGCCGCGGTTTAGTCGAGATTATTCGAAACACAAGCAAGCGTTTCAATGGATAAAACGCTTGCCATCTGTCCGCGATTTCTCATACGTCGTTTATTTATTACTTTAGCATTAGTTAACACGCGATTCATAGTATTTGAACTCCTTGTCGCTGGCCACGGTCGGTCAGGCACTCCGACAGAACAGCACACCGGGTTTTGTCCACCGGAAATCAAGGTTCAAGTATTAGGAGGAATGTTCGAGATTTCTTTTCGAGTAACTTAGAATCGTACAGGGTTTGTTGTAGCTGTATAATTTGTCTCGCTTAGTTTTCTACGTATTCCGGTGGAGCCTAACCTTCGTTTTTCTATTTAATTTATGCGTTAGAAGAAGAAACTCGATTACCTACCTTCCTTACTCCACTTCTTCGTCTGATGCGAACGTAATGTGATAATTTGCACAATAAACGATCAGGTTTTTGTGATCGGTGGTGAAACGAACTGGTGGCGCATATAGCCGAATATATATATACATATATATATATATATATTATATATTTTGCATCTTCAGTTAGGAGAAAGTACTAGCCTACTAAGTGTGGCGAATTCTTGTATCGCGTGATACAGTGATCAAAGACTCTCTATAAATTAGTTCTTCGTTTAAAAGATTTGCGCAAGACATCCGGCAATTTTGTACTGGACAATCATTTCGATACCCATCGAGCGATCTTCGACGTCATTTCACAATATCATTCGAGACGACCCGCAGCTCGGGTCGAGCATCTCGATTCCAAAGATAACATTCGCATGGTATTATTATTTAGGCGCGGATTAAGACTCAAACCAGTCCCCATTTTTCACCCAGGGCCTAAGTTCTACTACTTTAAGAAGCCTAAAAATTGGTTCTTAATCCGACACGCCTCGACACGCACTGTAGATTAGCGTCTTCGTATTCATCACGTTCTCTGGGATCCCCGAAACCGATTTCGGTGAACTAGAGGTGGCGATTAGTGGAACTACTTTAATTCTGTATTAAGCGAGTTTGTATAAGCGATAGATTTTAGAGCGTGTAGACGCGAACCGTTGGAACGTTAGCACAAATGGAAGAGCGAATGTGAATCGGAGACGGATGAGAGGATTGCTTGTTATTTAGAATATTTTATTATTAACCGGTCATCCGTGCACGAGGGTTGGCCGGGTTTCTTGGCAATGCAGAATATGTTTTAGCTGGTAGAAAAGGGGGAGATTAATTTTTGTATCTTCGACCCGGTAGTAGGGTATAAGCACCAAATATTATATACGGAATCTTTGTGTTCAGTGAGATCAATTTTTATATTTTGTTAGAGAGAGCTTCTTTGCGTTGAACTCAAGTTGTACGATTAGAAGGGGGAATCAAAAATCGCGTTTGGTATAGATTTTCGTTTACGTTCAGTGTCTCAGGTAAGGAATTCCGTTTTCCTCTCGGGACGTGCGGATCTCGCCGAGTGTGTTAAGAGGATGTTCAGCGGTCGAACATATCCGGAAACCGGAGACTTTCGCTGAGGTTGGAGCAGAGACTGTCGTACCGGTTGGATTAAGAAGTATTTTTCCATTGATTTTGTACGAGAACGAACCACTTTTCTACTGAACTTCCTTTGGACGGTTTCTGCTCGACCTTCTTGCTAGCTCCACGAATTTGCTCACTGGTACTTTGGCTGACTAGCAAAGAAAGAAAGGATGTTAAATTGTTTGATAGGGCGATCGATCCTTGCCGGCCATATTCTCCAACGAAGCCAGGAGCTTAAAAAATGTAACGGCCCTCTTTTTGTAATCGTCGAACAATAAGGTTTTCTATTCCTGAAAGAAACGAAACGAACGAATACGCGTATCGTGTATTTTTTTACGTTGTATCAATTCTGTACGCGCGTTGGTCTTGGCGCGTGCGACGTTAGTTCAATAGAGGATCGAGATAATCAAAGCATTAGGGCATTAAGTTTATAATCGGTTGTTAAGAAATAATCACGCTGTTCGAGATAATCAGAATCTCCTAAGCTTATCTAATAATAAATAAACTGCGGATTTTATGCATTCGTGGAACAATCTAGAACAATGCAACGTAACGTGCATTTTTAAGTTCACCAGAAATCATTTAAATATTTCTATAATTATTTATTCGACACGAATTATTATCAGTGCTTTTCTTCATTCTAGAGGAACTGATACCCGATGAAAAAATGGGATCAGTGAACAGTGGTCGATCATTTGAACCAGGCAAAAACGGGAAGCGTGTAACCGGTGTAGCACGTTGCTAAATGCGTGCTCGAATTTTTTTCTTTCCGTCAACGAACAGCAGCGAACGAACGAGCGAGCGAGCGAGCGAGTAGCCAGTCGGGCTGGTCTGCCGGCTACTCTCGGCATATTCCCTCTCAGTGCGCTTTAATCATCCGCAGGATAAACCTCGGCCGCGTATTTACCTCATTTCCTCATCGGATTTCGTAACGCGCCGGTTATATCCACAAACATTATATCTAACACAGAATCTAATCGAGGCTACGAAAATTCCTGGTGGCTCCACTGATAACAATCTCTCGAATTATGTATATGAATTTATTTTATCGAATCATAAATCGTTTCACGTTCTGTTACGTAATTTTATGTTAAAATTTATTACATGAATCA